CTGCGGTGCTCCCCCCCCCTCCCAAGTAAACCATGAAACCGAGAGTAAACTTACGGGACTTTCGTATTGGAATATGATAGAAAACATAAACATCCATGCCTGCGCCCCCCCCCCCCCCTCCGAGGGATATCTGAAGAAAACAACATGTGCAGGACACGCCTAAAGAGGAGAATCGCTACCCCCCCTCGTCTTTACCCGGATATCGCCGCAGCAGCGCTGTCTAGATCAACGGTAGGCGCAGCCGGTAGGAGGTGGGTCACCGAGAAACCCCAAACACGCAACACATGCCAGTCCATTCGTTGCTCCGCCCATGGTAGTACACGACCTTCTCATTCGCGGGATGGAAGGGTACCATGGAAATTCATCTTCGCGGGACGGAAGGGTACCATGGGTATTCTTCATCTTCACGGGACGGAAGGGTGACATGAACGTTTGATCTTCGCCTTATGGAAGAGTACCATAGACGTTCATCTGCGCGGGACGGAAAGGGTACCATGAAAATTCAAACCGGAACAAAAACAGTCCTCCAGCGGGTGACCGCAACGGAGAGGGCACACGCCGTCCCTGGTCCAAAGGTAAACGCAACTATATTTGGCCGAATTCTTCCAGCTTGTTTTTGCGGAAACATGTCAAGCACGCAACAAACCACAGGAGATCCATGTGCAGCGAAGCTTTCGCGAACATAAGATCTCCTTCACCCAGCCCGAAGCACACTCGCGTATGTAACCAACAGCACTACCCCCCCCCCCCCCCCCTCCGGAAATTGGCCATCGACACAACAACTCCCCCGCCGGGGCCCAAGGAAATTTCGGGCCCTTTCACCCCATCATCTAAACACCCCCCCGAAAGAACCGGCCCGCACGCGAACCCCCCCCCTTCCTGGCCCCTTGGCCCAACTCTTCCCCCCCCCTGGCCCTATCGCTGTACGAACCCCCTTTTTTTCCCCCTTTTTCCTTTAACAAGGGCCGGAGGAAGGGCAGGGGCTGAGCGGGGGCGAACCCCCCCCCCCCCGACGGGAAAAGGAGGGGGGGAGGAAAGAAAACCGTCCCCCGGGT